CCGCCTCCCCGGCGGCCCCGCAGGCCGCGGGCGCCCCCGCCATGGCGGCCCGGCGCGGGGCCTGCGCTCGCCCCCCTCGGGCACCGCTGCTGCGCGCCCCGCCGCGTGCTGCCATTTATCCAGGCAGCTCTGCTCGTCTCACCCCTTTCTTCCTTTCCACTTATTTGTTTTAAATTGTGCCCATCTGGCACACTGGAGCTGCGTGTTGGGGTAGGCAGCAACCAAAATAAACTGATAAAAGATCCTGCTTCAAAACGCACAAGCCTTCGGGTTTGTGACATATCTTGTGTGTTAAGTTGTGTTGGAACTCAACCGGGGAAATAAATAAATGAATGGCCGCACGCAGTTTAAAGGTAGTTAGAAGAGTCCAGGAAGCCCAGGTCATGGAAGCATCTCTGATTCACGGGAAGCTGCCCTGGACACTGCTGGGCCCCGCTACGGCCAAGTGCTCCAGGAGGCGGGCGAAGAGCCCCGAGGTGACCGGGCCGTGAGTGTCGCTGGCCACGGCCACCCCCTCCCACGGCGGGGCCTGCAGGGAGCCGTCTCCATGGGCTGCCAAGGGCTCTCCGCAGTCTGGGAGGCCTCGGCATCCCACAGCTGCCTAGGAGCACTGGCCCTAAAATAACTGCATGCAACCACTCCTTCTGGCTGGGCTTTCTTTCCCCTTCTTCCTTTCTTTGCCATCATTACCTACACAGTTTCTCATGTAGTAGAAAATGCACAGAAAAATACACTAAAAGAAACCGTGAAGATCCCAACCAGCTGCTTTGCTGGACTATAACAAGTTCCCGGTATCCTAAGACTAAGCATCACAATATGGAATAGGTCATAACTGACAGACACCGCTTAACATCTTTTGAACATATGWGTCAACCTGGTTAGCAAATTTGAATGTTTTATGAAGCATTTTCTCATAATAAACAATATTCTTCTGAGAAGTTATTAATAAGGAATTGTATTAGTTGTAGTTTGAAGTAGTACTTACCTTCAGCTCTCCAAAACCTTGAAGGGTTGACTTCCAAGACGGGAGACAATAGGGAAAAATATGCTTCTTCTCTTGACAGTGATTAGCACCTTCATCCACAGGTTTGCCCACGTCATCAGAGGATGAGGTAGAATCTGTGGAGCTCATCAGAAAACAACAACACATTTCCAAATAAGTGACATAATTCTTAACATCACTGAGAAAAAAAAGTAGGCCCTCATCCCAATCCTCAAATGGATTGAAAGACTTCTGATTTCCATGATCTATGCATTAATCTCAAAATAAACTCTGACCCTGTAAGCTCTGACCCAGCAAAGATCCTATTCCCATTCCATCCATTCTCCTCCAGGGTGAGTTTTCCTGTACAGAGAATGTGAACAGAAACCCATGGATTTCCCCCTCTGAGATATCATGCCCATCTTCTTTTTTTTTTTTTTTTTTTTAATTTATTTACCTTAATCCATTACTAACACCAGGTTTGCTTTCCCCACAGACAGAGTCACCAGATATTTCTGTAATTATTACTCACTAGGGATGAGAAGAGTGGACAACACACCAGTTGGGCACAACGGGAACCCCACTGACCCGGCTTCGCAGATCCCTATCGCTATTTTGGTCCTGAGGACACACACCCAGCAGCCAAGGGAAAGAATAATTTGAAAAATGTTCTTAAATGTACTTCCAGTCATACTCATCACTCCCAATAATAGTAACAGATGCAGCAAAATCAGAGGAGTGTAATTATGGGTGGGCCGGGTATTAACTGTATTTTTACAATGCCTTTTGTCTGACCTACGGCTTTAGCGAAGTCCTGCCTTGGTGACAGAGCATGGTCCCCTATCGTAACAGTCTTGTCACCATGTCTGGTAAAGCTATATGGTAATTAAGACCATCCACTGGATGGTATATGTAATGCTATTAGGCATTTTGCCGCCTTGTTGCCAGGTCTTTTTCCAAAGCAGGAAGGGTTTTGGCTACTTTAGCGTGACTGCTGACAAATGCCATGGCAGCGGTGTGAATTTGGCCTGCACATGGAAACAAGCCTGGTCTCTACTGAAAAGTAGGAAAAAATGTATAATCCGGAGGAGGTACAAGAGGGAGTAAATATCCTCTGACCTCCCTCTATCCCACGACCTCAAATAAGCTGCCACGCACCAGGAAAATACACCAACATGTCACTGCTGTAATCGCCTCGTTTACCTGAGCAATCCATTTTCCCTAAGCTATTCCAGCTGCATAGGAAAGGCTGAAGGCAGCCACGTCACGCAGTCCCCACGCTGCTTAATCAGCACTGGCAAAATCCACCATAGATGCTTTGCTATCGATATCAAAATCACTATGAAAAAGAACAGACAAATACTGGATACAGTATATTAAAATTGGTAATAGATTTAATAATTGAATTAGGGCAAACCTATGTGAAAGAGGTTGGTTTTCTCTCTTTTTTTTTGTTTYTCTCCAGTCAAATGGGAAGTTGACACTTGTGCTTCCAACCCTGCTTATTTTCTAAGAGCAGATAAGGACCTCACAGCGCTTTTTGGAAGGATACCCCCTGTAACACCAGCACGGCAACTGGCGCTTCCCCACGGGCACCCACGCGTGCCACAAGCGAGCCGGGCACCGGGGCCGGGGCAAGCCGAGCGGGCTGGTTCCGAGCGCCCGCTTTCCAGCGCAGGAACTCAGCGCGCAGGGATGCGGCACTCGGAGAGGCAGGAGCGCTGAGCTCGCTTCCCGACGGGCCCTCGCTCTCTCCCGCCACCGCGGCCCGAGCCCGGCCGGGCTGCGGGAGCTCCGCCGCGCTCCAGCACCGGGAGCGGCCGGCGCCACCCGAGGGGCTCCGGCACCGGGATTCCCCAGGAAAAACAAACAAACAAAAAAAGGTTTTTCAAAGGGAACCGAGGGAACAACGCGAACACGGAACGACCCCATCCCACCTGCGCCCGGCCGGGCCCGTTAATTGGATCATGGCGGGGGCGGGGGCGCCGCCGGGCCCGCCCCGCGCCGGGCGCCGCGGGAGGCGCTCCGGCACCGGGATTCCCCAGGAAAAACAAACA